TCGCAGATACGTAGACAAGTGAAAGGGTTCACATAAACGTTTTCTGGGAAATTGTAATAAAATAGTTTATCGGAATGATGTGGTGACCACATCCTGTGTCCCTGCATCAGCAATTGTGTAATACACACATGTGCGGAATTGATGGGAAATTAACAATATTTTATTATCATTAGCGCACATGCACACTCACAATTCGTGGAAGTTGTCTTATTTTATTATCATTGACGCACACACACACTCACAATTTATAGGAATTATCTTATTTTATTATCTTGTTCATTTACACACACACACTTGGGATTTTACATACACACATACAATATCACATATAAAAGGGACCCGAAAACAAGGGCAAATCAGACGAGTCTTGTCTATGCTGCACTGAGCACCTTCACGTCAGTGTATGTTATGGTCTGGACTTAGAAATATTTCCAATTATTTTATAAGTTACAATTGTTAGGACTTAAATAATTTCTATCACTAGAATATTTACAAAATTTGTAGTTAGAATAATTTTTATAAGTTAAATAAATTTAATTATTTTAAAAAGAAGTCTTAATTATTCCTGACTACACTTCCACACAAGCGTTGACTGAGACGTTGTAACTGAGTTAACGGATCAAACGGTTGGCACGTAACATAACTATAAACTAATATGGTGTTAATTGTTAAGTTATATAAATTAGTTTTTATTTTTTAGTTTTTATTTCTATATAGTATAATCAATAATACAAAAAGTATTCCATAAAAAATAAAACATAAAGCATTATATTTTTACTGAAATGAAACAAAATTTTCATTTCACTCAAATTATATATTTTATGACATTTTACAACTCTACATATAACACAAAGCTGTCGTACATCAATCATTAACATAATGATAAAATTGAAATATAAATATATTGATGCACCATAGAAAATACAGTGATATCATGACTCATAAGTGCTGTACAATAACAAGTCATGTTTAATTTGGGATTTCCCATGAACAAATTATTTGAAATAGAATGTGATTCTGGTGGTCGTAAATTATTATTATAAGATAAGATAGTAACTGATACATTTATAAAAAAATTAAATTATTATATTTCAACATTTTAACTATATTAATTTTATATAGATATGTAAGATTAATCGGCATTACGTCCAGACCCCATGGACCCCCCTCCGTAAATCCGCCACTGATTAAAGCATATTTTGCCAATAATGTGCATAAATGCAGGGCCGGCTCAAAGTATAGGCGAGCTAGGCACCTGCCTACAGCGGCACTTTAGTAGGAGCGGCATTTTCAAAATTGACTCGTAATTTTTTTTTAGTTCTATCGGTGTTTTAAAAGAAAAATTAATGAAATTCAATCATTCGTGAAAACCACCCACCTATATAATAAAATTGTCTAAAGTTATAATATTATTTTATATTACGGACCTACGCTAGGCGTTTTCAATTGTTCCGAAAATATAAATAATCACACATTTCCGATAGTTACGATAGTGATGGATTTTGAGTAATAACTATGGAAATCATTTTTAAGTATTTTTACATATAATCTTATGCGTAAAATAAAAAATTAAAATTTTTTTTATGTAAATATGTTACACGAAAAAAAGGGGCTAAGTTAAAATAAGAGCTAAATTAATTTTTTTTAGATTTGATTTTGCCTAATGCACTATTTTCGCTCGGGCCAACTTTATATAAATGCATACTCATTTAGGAATTTTTTAGGGTGCGAATTTACGAACCCTGGTTATATGTATCTACAGTTTTTAATTTTAAGTTTGAACAATTTGCCAAAATATGGAAAATAAGCAGGGACGGCGCGAGGGGGTGGGCAATAGGGGCAGTTGCCCAGGGCCCCGCGCCTTAAATTATAATAAAAGCCTCGCGGTTATGATTTAACTGAACTTAAAATATTTTATTAATATAAATTATAAGACCCAACATTAATTTTGCCTAGGGCCTCGCAAACTCTAACATTGTCATTGAAAATAAGCATAAAATTTTTAAAATATGCACATTCAAATTTTAGATCTGATATCATGGCACTGAGAAGCGAATTTATTTCGCACTCTGCTACATTTAACTATAATTAAAAAAAGTATGCAAATGCTAGAAGTCTCTAAGCCTAATTATTATATTATATGTGTGACGTACAAGAATATATTCCACGCGTGGAGATTTAAAATTGTGACTGCATAATGCATAGGTATGTGTGACATATAACATTAAAATTTAGTAAACATTTAGAAAAAGGTATCATGGTTGGACCGCATTAATCATGAAACAATGACGAATAAAAAAAAAAAAAAATTATTAAAATAAAGGAGATTTTGTAATAAAAAGATCTTGAAATAATAAAGGTTGCGCTATACTATTCGGATGCTCTGCCTTGACACTACTGATGCGCCCTCGGGACATACACTGGATGTACGAAAGGCCTACGTGACCAAAAGGGTTCACTCAGCACATTCTTTATAACACGGTCTCGACTGTGCAGCTAATTCACAAAATGATGTTTAATGCTTAATATTCTAATACTATGACAATAATATACTATATAACCAAATGTAATTTAAGCTAACAAATATTTACAAAGAATTTGTATAACAAACATCATATATCTATTTTTTTAATATGATAATTGCTAACATTAGAGGCTCTGCCCCCCTCCTATATTACATAAATAAATACCATGTATTTATATAAATTATTATACTAATGAAAATGATTATATTAAGACATTATGTATTATATTACATTATTATATTAAGTGTAGGTATGTAAAATCGACAAGTTGTGTACAACGTTTATTCAAATCATACCGTAAGTTTGTAATTTAATGAAATACCATAGAATATGGTCGAGGGGGAGTGTTCTAACATTCATATCACCCCTCTAAATACGACCCTGAATAGGGTAAATAAATAAAAACGTAATTATATACTTAAATGAAAAACAAAATAAACTTGATAAATAATCAAAATTAATCATACGATTAAACGATTCTGCGAATCATAATTTCATACTCGTACGATAAATATACACTTTTGGTGTCAAAAATGACCCACTTACAAAATATTTATCAATTTTTTTTCCACATGTTATCAGAATATGAGATTTTAGAAGAATTGAAAGCTATTATTAATGATATGGCATTCGATTCTGATGCAGAAGACAATGCCACCAATGCAAATAACTCTCTAATACAACAAGTTTAGCATTTATCTACCAGATCATCAGGTGAATAAGCCTAGTAAATATTTTCTTAATTTTATATTATATTAAATTAAATGATTTTTCGCATGCAAGTTCTAGTATGGCTGAAGCTGAAGTGCAGGTGCTTAATGTAGCAAATATTGAACAAACAACATTTCTTCTACGTCTCAAAGTACATTTTAATTTTTAATTATTCAATATTTTAATTAGATTTTTATATGTATTTATTCTATATTTTATAAAAAATAAAAATAATTTGGTACAAAAAAATTTTACTATATAATTTAGTACATCATATGTACCTAGGACCTGTATTACATTATTTATTATTTTATAACATACTAGCCGACCCGACAGACTTCGTCCTGTCAAAAAGATTTGTAATGTGGCAGTTTTTGTGCCTACGTATTTTAAAAAATTCTCCTGAACAGAACCGTCACCCTGTGACGGTCTTAGTACTTGATCCACAAATCAATTGGGTTTGATGGGAAGCATGTAGATATGATTACAGAAAACAATGTTCGTATTTGATGAGTGTGTGATGATATTCATATTATAACAAATATTATCTGTGAACCAATTAACAGGGGTACAGATTTCATATCATGGTGAAATGAACGGCGGCGAAATGTCCGATTCCGGCATATCAGACATATTATATCATGAACAGGGCTCGGAAGTTGTACCACTAAACATTTTACTTTTTAGCTCTTATTTATGCACTTAAAAACTCTAAAATATGCGCTATAGATAGCACGAAAAATAAAATAATATGCATTTAACTAGAAAAAATTTCTAATTTACTAGGAAAAAAAATTAAATGTAATTTTACAAATTTTTGGGCTCATAAACGCCTGGACTGTTGAGTTATAAACTGTCAACAAAAATGTTAAATTAATTGCATGTACTTGTAAAAGTGTACTTATAATTAAATTATTTTATATAAAATTGGATATTACCCTGGATTATTAAAATGTTTGATAATCTAATGCAGAGGTTCCCAACCTCTTTTGACTCGCGGCACCCTTGGACATTTTCTAAAAATCCGGAGGCACCCTGTGCTCTATGGCCTATATTCTAATATTCTATAGACTGCTTCGGTTCTATTTATTAATGCATAAGTATAATCAAAAGTAGTAAGGTGTAGGTGCATACTATATACATATTACATTTAATAAATAAATTATTACATTGTATTTATTTTTATTTTTAATTATTATTTATCTTTATTTATTATTTAATTTACAATATTAATTTAAAATTAGGGAACTTATTTATTTATTTATTATTGGAACTAATGTGACACTTGGGCTTGTTTTTTTTTACACAAATCTTTTATTTGTGGTCGAATAGTTGAAAGTTGAATAGTTAAAAATGTAGAACTCGAAATTGGCCAAAGTGTTCCCTTAGATATTTTCACACAGCATAAAACATCACCTCATATGCCACTGACATTATTTTAATAGTCCGCGCTCTTCCGGAACACGTTCAAAACGAGTTTCGAAAATGTTCGTTTTTACGGCAATCCGTAAAATGCACTGTTACCATAGCAATTATTGTATGCAATTGACAAATTATGGTGCTAAGAAATTTCTACATTAAAGGTGCTTGGGAGACACTGGGCATCTTATCTATTGCTATTGGATTATTGCTAATGTAACCATCGTGATTACACGCCGTGTTACACACATAAATATATAAATGACGTTTTTCAAAGAGGGGATATCCATAATAAAGATGCCGATTATAGTTTTTTTCTTAATAATATATCACCGATTTCCAGTCTTCAAGCCGCTTAATTTGACAGTTGTTGTGTGTTAATCGTTGTGTGTGTATGTGATGTTTTATACTTAATCTTGAAATATGTTACATTTCTGCGGTATTCCTTGAACTTGTAATAACGCTAATTTTTAATTACTGTCATTTGCTACCGTTCTTCAGTTATAGTGTAGTACGTATTCGTAAAATATTGAAAACCAAAATTAGGTAATTTTGTTTATTTATTTCGACATCAGAATAAATGAATTCTATTGTTCAACATTGAACACAGGGGACTGAAAGAATAATTCATCTAAATTATCAAGTATTAATGATTCATTGAATTTATGTTTAATTATGATTATTATTTGTTTGTCTGTTCTAATATTTTTGTCAAATCACAAATAAAATACTATGGCAAATGTATCACTCTAAGGTCCGGTATTTCATATATGACTTAAGCTATAGCTTTACTAAACTTAAGTGTAGTTTAATTTGTATTCTGTATATCAATTAGTTTAAGTGTTACCTTAAGGTGCGTTCTCATGAGTCAAGTTTAGTTGACCGATTATAGTTGATAAACAAAAATTGATTATAAGTTGAATCAGTTTTTGTTCACACATTTCAACAGAACATGTTTCAATTTTATTTTCAACTCAGTTGAAAAGCTGCGGTCGACACGTAGTGACACTAACTGTTATGCTTATGATAAAGTTCTAAGAATTTTAGCACCACGCTTTCAGATCACTTGAGGCTCATTTTTAAAATTAAAAAAAATTTAATGCATTAAAAATTAAAAAAAAACACAATTGACAAAATAAAACATAAAATGCATGCGTGACTGCCCACTGGTTGAAAAGAAACTGAAGTTCAACTTGAATCAACTGTAGTGTAGGTTGTTCTCACGTCTCACGGGTTTCAACGTGAAAGGAATTGAAAAACAACTCATTACTTGAACGATAAAGTTTCACTGGGTCAAACTTTTTTTGATCAACTAATTAGTTGTTCAATTTTATTGAAACAGGTTCTCACTAAAGATTTTATTCAATTTTTGTTGATCAACTATAATCAGTCAAATAAACTTGACTCATGAGAACGCACCTTTAACAAAGATATACTTTTTCAATTTTCTTCCATGATTTTACATAGATGTTCCAAAAATAAATATTATCAAAATAGAATTTTTGGTTAATTATCATTGATTTATTATTTTAATTATTAAAAGTAATTACTAAACGTGTCTGATTTGTTGTTAATAACATCATTTGCTCAGGAGTAATTAGTGATGTGCCACTAGGAATGTTCCCGGGAACAGGGAATATTCCCCAGTATCTCGAGAAATTTCTTTAAAAATAAAAAAAATAAAAAAATTGAGTGAGAATAGAATGACAGTCTATACTACTATACATCTGTACTGTGTACTAGAGTAACTGTATTCATTGGTGTATTTTGTTCACATCAATTGGCTAACTACTTTGTTGACCGACATATATTTGAGTATTGATAAGAAATATATTGGATTATAATTGATTACAGAATTATCATTATTTCATTTTAGTATTTTCCATTTACATAATTATTAATTTTATACATTTAATTTCTGTTACTATAGTACCTAGTAAGTTAAATTTTTAGTTTCACACTTCACAAACTTCTTAACATTTCTGTTAATAACTTTTTGTGTTTAAATTTACTGTATGTATTTGTATATAAAGCACGTTTTTTTTTGGTGCTAATCAAATTTTCTGTTGTAATGACTGGTGGTAAAAAAAAATTGGCGTTTTGGTCATATTACCAATAAAAAACTGTAAATGGCAAAAATATATTTGAATGCTATTATTGTAAATTTCAATATTCTTGTAAAAATGCGGTTAAAATGACCATGCATTTAATAAATACTGTAAAAATTGCCCATCTGAAGTTATAAAGAAAATTAAACGAGCTAAAGATACATATACATTATATATATATATATATATTATTACATATACATATACATTACAATTATATAGTATAGAAGATAACGATTATGTGGGTAATTTATTAGTAGTACATATATTTGTCAGTAGTTTTGTTTAGTTAAAGTAGTAGTTTGGATACTTTATTAATTGTTTCCTTTTTTTTTTTTTTTTTATCATAAGTTCATAATATTGTTATAATAAAAATATTAATTAAGATTTAAGAGTACTGCATGTTTTTAATTTTATTAACCCTTTGTCGACCAAGCATCGAATTAAGATATTTTTTAAATTTTTTTTGCACAAACATGTTATATTTAACCTATATAAGACTAATTTTTTTTTCGTTTTTTTTTGTTTTCTTACTCAAATTTTACTTAGGACCCTGGTACTTGGAAGTACCATTGGTCATCTAGACATTTTTTTTATTGGTACTTCGAAGTACCAACAGTCATTTTGCCATATTTTTTTTAACATGTGGAACATACAATATTAATTTACAACTAGAGAAAAAATGATTTCTTCTCTTATTTAAATATTAAATAATATTTTTTTGTAAAAATAAGTATTACAATTTTTTTTAAAATATTTAATTCTAAATTAAAAACCTCAATAACTCTAAGGTGTAAATTAAGTATTTTAGTCTGAAAAATGCAATATTATCAGGTCAACACCACATTAATTATTTTGTTGGTTGAATATAATTTTTTTTTTACATTTTTATTTGTTATACATTTTTTATTTTTTTGTGAGAATGAATGGTACAATTTTGAATTATGTATTAGTTGAATAATTTGAAAAAAATTATGATTCCATATTTGTCTTCATTTAACCACTGAAGTAACACATTGTCATTATTATTTGAAATTTTAAAAAATAATAGTAATTATGGTTAAATAATTCGGGCTGTTGTTAAAATTATTTATATAGTACGTAAAAAAAAAACGATTTCACAAGCACGACGGTAGTTAGCAACACGACACGACAAAGACGAGTTGAGAACAGACTAAATTTCTCCTGTGATATACCAATGGTACTTATAAGTCCATATTATTATTTGTCAGTGTTTCGTTATATCGATAATGAATTCGAGCTAACCGAACAATATAATACACCTAGACATATATCTAAACATACAAAACTATTTATTTTGATCAAATTACAAAATATGTATATATAAATAGAAAGGAAAAACACCAAGTCATATACATGTGTTGAATACTGCAGTCCCCGAAATTAATCGCCGATAAAATGTTTAATAATAGCACAACCAATTTTAAAATAATGTTTATTTAATCGGTAGATGGTACTCTTAACTACCGACCAGTGAGAATCACAAATATATTGTTCACTAATATTTTATACGTATTTTATTTTAGTGGACTTATGAGTACCGTCGGTCGACAAAGGGTTAATAAAGATACTGAATTACCTATAGTTATATATAAATGTATATTGTTCATTACATGTATAAGTAAAAGTTATTCAGTATTTCAGTATGTTTATTTTTATTTTTTAACATATAAAAAAAAAGTTTGATCATTTATTTTGTGATAATTGTACAGATTTTAATTAAAAAATTTAATTATAGTTACTTAGTAACTTTTTTTAAAATAATTAAAATCTGAACTGTAACAATATCAGTAAAAAACTGAAATTTGGATCATTTACAGCCATAAGATTAATTTAAAACTGAAACCTATGATTAATATTTAAAAACTTTTAATATTCCCGGGAATTTCACCGGGGAAATTCCCAAAAATATATTCCCGGGAATTTGCCCATCACTAGGAGTAATGACATGATTTCTAATAATTAAAAATAGTTTTTGTAAGATATATCTAAATAAATTTTCCTTTGTATTAAGTTTTTAATTTTGTTTAATTTTAACATACCTGTTGGTAAGAGATAGAATTTTATCCACAATTAATGTCAATATTACATTCACAACACGTTTTGATAGACGAAACCTATATTGAAATTCAATCTCATCCAAGTACTGAAATGATCTAATCGGTTTCTATAAATTCGTTTTTTTCTTGAGCGATTCAATCGTTCAATAATAAAGTTAACAATGTCTTCATCGTCACTTGACAGTGATGAATCCGATATGTAAAGTATAATTTCATTCATTTTGAAAATTAAGTCATACAAGTACAACACAATTTAATTCATTTAACTTAATTTAACTTGAATAGTTACAAAATATATATTTGAAACAATTTTTACTTATAAAATCACACAACACAATGATTATCATTGAGAAAATAAAACATAAATTACAGATAAACTTTACATTAGGTATGATTTAGTTTAAGTAAAGCTTTTAGCACGTTAAATGTTACTTAAGTATTAAAAGTATAATGAAATTCGAATATATTAATTTAAGCTTAGCTTATGGTTAAGTTATAGCTTAAGATGAATATGAAATACTGGCCATTGTTATTATTAAAGAAATTTTAAAAAGTGGGCAATTTTTTGCCCAATGATGAAATGCTAAAATCGGTAAATAGTAAATTTTTATTTACTATTTTGTACTCAGAAATCAGATAATATTTTCTTTTAAATACACGTCCACGGTTTATTAAAAGTGGAGAAACACTGGTTCCTCCTCGGTTTATAACAATCGTTGTTACGCGAACCTTATAAACTTTATTTTTGGTATATTATATATGTCTATAAATGTGATCTTTATAAAACAGTTTTCGTGATATCGATACCATAAGATTTGAGCTCATAATCTAACCGTTAAAATCATTCCTATTCACCCTAAACTACGGTACATTATATTTGAGATACAATTTTATGTTTATATAAATAGGTTCTGTAAAGTATTAAACATATAAATAATAAAATTATAAGTATTTATTTAACTAGATTTATATTATTATTCCATTAAACCTATTGATAAGTAACTTATAGCCTATAGGGATAAGTAAATAGATTAATGTTTTACTGTCTTTAATGTTATTATTTAATTGGGTAAATTGAAATGTTTCATGTTCTTTGTTTATCATTATGACATCATTATTCATTTGTTATGACCGGATTTATATTCTCTCGAAATACCTTACATATGATGCTAATATTCTCTAAAAAACCTTCGAATGTTCTTATTATATTCTCTTAAAAATTTTAAAAATATGTAAAAATATTCGAAATTATTCAAAAATAATTAACAAACATCAATATATGGTTTAATATGCATTTTTAAAAATTTTTTTTTTTACAATATTTTTTAATCTTGAGGTATATACGTAGTTGCGTATTATAATAGAATACTATTGTACTTCAGTAAGAGTAGGAATATAGTAAAAATATTACAATATAGTCTATAGCAGGGGTTGCCAACGTTTTCAGAAAAGTG